GTGGAGACAGAATGCTTGAAGGGGCACACTACGAGATGGAACAGTCAGTCAATGCATGGGACAATGCCTTGGGGCAATCTTCTGTGTGCCAGCAGTATTCTTTTGAGTGGGGGATGTACCATTGAGCATGTTCAAGTTCATGAAAATGCCAATTTTTAGCATGGGTACTTTCATCAACATACAGCGATGCTATACAGTACCATCTTGTCTAAACCTTTGACATGAACATCAGTCCAGCTTGTTGGAGCGTGTTGGTGGGAATCCACTTGTTTTGGGGGGTGATGGGAGATGTGACACACCAGGACATTGAGATGTGACAAACCAGGACATTGTGCGAAGTATGGCACATACACCTTGATGGATCTTTGAGAACAGAAACATTTTGGATATACAGCTTGTCCAGGTGAGTGAGAATAAGTGAGACCTCAAGGCACTGCTGCACATGCTATAAAGATTTGTATAAAAGGTAGCAATATTGACAAGCGATGTTGTGCTTGATGCTGCTTGCAGCACTATCCCAGATATATATAACTGCAGCCTATAATAAATCAAATCTGGAGCAGACAATTCAGGGATTGATATGTTCTCGTTTCTATTTTAGAGCAATGAAGTGAAGAATTCACATCACATGGAACTTGAGGGACTGAAGCGAGGATTGTCATTTCTTGAACAGAAAGGGTGTTCCATTAAGGAAGTCATCACAGATCGCCATGTCTCAGAGAAGATATACATGAGAGAGGAGCATAAAGACAAGAAATATTACTTTGATGTTTGGCATGTAACCAAAGGTAAGGATACACATAATATATTTTGTGTTAATCTGTATATGATACAGATTCTTGATATACATCAATTACTATTTGCCGGCATTCATAAAATTATCTTGTGATCATATGGTTAACATAAAAAATACAACTTATAAAATTGGGTTAGCTACTAGTATTTTACATAAACCAATGTAAATATGTGAAATGTGCTGTGGACTGTTTGGATATGAAAACTGTTGTCTACCACTAAATTACATATTCCAATTGATGCCAGGAGTTGGGTAGCAGCATCATGTAAAGATGATCCAGATATGAAAGTGGATAAATGGTTGTCAGTGACAAATCATGTTGCAAACAAGTATGAAGGACGCTCAGCCAAGTTCAAGGAGTGCGAGCATGGACCACTGTCTGAGGAAAGACAATGGTTGAAAGAAGGTTATTTTTTTTAAAAATATATTTTAACATCAGGGCTCGATTTAAGAGTTGTTAACCTACTTGCACCAGGTGCAACCTAAGATAAAAAGTTGCACCAGCCAAATTCCATTGCTTTCACTTCAATATGTAATTAGTGAAATATGCTATTGAATTATTTAGATGTCTTATTTAGAAGTTTACCCCCTCACAAATTTAGACTAGGTTGCACTTTGTAATATTGGTTAGCACCAGTGTAAGGAACAAAGCACTAAATCGAGCCCTGAACATTAACAGCATTTCATATGTGACCAATTCATCGGTTATACACATAGTAAGGCATTAATTTACAGTGAGTGTTACAATACTATAAAAGGTACACATGCCATTAACCATGATAACATGAATGAGGTAGCAATTTTGTTTTTACAGGTTCTAAACCATACAAAGCTTTCATGGAGGTTGTATCAGATTTATGCATTGGAGGTTTTCCACAGTGTGGTAATCACTTTGCGCCTAAGACCACCCACTACTTTTATGCTGCAATGATGGCAAGGTGAGATATGCAGAGAACCCATACAATATTTCATAATATTCACTTAGTATTTCTACAATAAATACATTACAGAAGCCACTAATTGCCATGTTGTGTTCTTGATGGAAGCTGTGATGCTTGGTTTACTCTAAGTAGAAGTATGTTCAATAACCATTGCAATGACATACATTTTTCAGTTATCAAGCAAAATTTGACCATTTCAGAATGTTCCTCGCTGCTCTCCATTTCAATGAAAATGGAAACCGTGAACGAGCAACGGATCATGAGGGCAATTCAAGATGGAAAATGATGCATCCCAAATCAAAGAAAGGAGAGGATGCCGTTGTCAAACCTGTTAAACAACCAGTTACATTCAGTAAGTTTGGAACTGCAGATTTTATACATACATAAGCAAGACTGGAGCAAATTTATTCCTTTAGTCTGATAACAAATTTCGTTTGAATTATAATTTCAGTTTTCAGAGAGGCCTTTTTCAGCATGTGATATTTTTCTCTTGATCTTATGCACCAAAATACATAATAAAAATCAGTACATGATAAGAAACAGAAAACAATATAACCTGTGTTGTCTTGCCTGTATTTTGTATAATTGTTTACAGTGAAATTGTTATTTCCTATTTTGTATCATGCAGACTATGCTGAAGACCTGCAGCGGGCTGTAATAGAAAGAAGAAGAGCTTTGCCAAACTACCCATCAGCAAAGAAAGATGCAGACAAGCATTTCCAAAGTACACCTCTGCCGCTTACCAAGAGCTTTAAACCCTTTGTTAAGGAAGACTTGGTCAACCAACAAAAGTCAAGATTCTGTATGCCCAAATAGAGTAAATTCAAGACAAGCCTTTCAACAGGCTGTTTGGCTTTTTCAATATGCCATTTGCATTACTGTTGTGGTTCTGAATGGAGCGTCTATGACCTCGTCATTACCTGCTGTCTGGTTCCTTGTATCATCATCATTAACACATGACATATTTTATGTATAATAAGGGGTAGCTTAGTCAGGTAGAACAAGAGACCACTGGCCATTAAAGACAGATTTATTTACATGAAATATACAAAGAACTAACATATATTAAAGAATGATGAGCATTTTTCACAATTATCTCATGAATAAACTTTGCTCCGTGATTGTTACAAACTTGAGATGTTTATATTTATGCCTTACTGAAAATGATCTGGCAATGTTTTGTTGTTATTTCTCTGGCCTCAGACTACAAGACATTCTCAAACCAGAAAATGGCATGGTTAGGTTGTATGCAAATGAAAAAATCTGTGAACATTACCTTTGACTTTATCTTTATTTGCACTTCACATACCCATAGTACATGCATACAAGTTGTTGTTAAGGTATATACTGGCTGTCTGATCCGTTTTGTTAAGGTATATACTGGCTGTCTGATCGTGTTGTCAAGGTATATACTGGCTGTCTGATCTGTGTTAAGATATATGTTGGCTGTCTGATCTGTGTTGTTAAGGTATATAGTGGCTATCTGATATGTGTTTTCAAGGTATATAGTGGCTATCTGATATGTGTTGTCAATGTATATAGTGGCTATCTGATCTGTGTTGTCATGGTATATACTGGCTGTCTGATCTGTGATGTTAAGGTATATACTGTCTGTCTGATCGTGTTGTCAAGGTATAAACTGGCTGTCTGATCTGTGTTGTTAAGGTATATATTGGCTGTCTGATCTGTGTTTGTTAAGGTATATACTGGCTATCTGATCTGTGTTGTCAAGGTATATAGTGGCTATCTGATCTGTGTTGTCAAGGTATATAGTGGCTATCTGATCTGTGTTGTCAAGGTATATTGGGGCTATCTGATCTGTGTTGTTAAGGTATATACTGGCTGTCTGATCTGTGTTGTTAAGGTATATACTGGCTATCAGATCTGTGTTCTTTAGACCCGGACACTGGCGGAGACAGCTGTATCATCTATCTGCCAGTGCAATAATGACACCATGGTATCCAGAGATGGAAGGGAAATGGAATGGGTCGAGTGGTGGATTAAAAGAGGGGTTGGGGAATAAAGTTTGACATTCACCTTGACCTTTGACCAACAAAATGTGTATTGTAGTTTAAGGACCATATTCATTAAAAGCGAAGTAGATATTTAAAGTAATGTGAAGAAATATGGACCTAAAATGAATGTATCATTGTCCTGAAAATGCGGTGGAATAAATGTTCCATAAACCCAAAATATTCTGGAACTTCCGACGCTTTCCCAGATCACGATTACTAGCGGTGATTAAATAACCCCAACCTTTGTACTAGCATATACAATAAAAGAGAAGACATTAGGGTTGGCGTTATTTTGTTTATATTGATATAAGTAGTATTTCTAACACCCCTAATTCATATATATAAAATGCGTTTATACAAACAAAAGAAAGATTAAACGTGTGAATAATCTTTGTGGCACAAATGTGATTTCACAGTGGATGGTAAAGCAGTTACATGTATTGAATAGTATAATGCTATACCTTACAACAAAATTATAATATACAATTGCTGCCCTACACGCCGAAGGGCGTAACAGGGATAAGTAAGTAAGTATAATATACAAGTGTCTCGAATTTGCTGAAACGTATATCATCAATACTGATTTGCTCAGTTTTCAGGGAATTGAAGATGCTGTTCATGCGTTTTAACAGAGGGGAAATATAAATGTGCTTACAAGAACAAACGCTATACCCAATTCCAGGTCACCATTTTAATCTGAGGATGTTAAAGTGTCATAAAATTGTAGTAAATGTTGAACAAGACTGTCAAATACATAAAATAAACTTTACAAGGACACACGGGCACATACATTGGGAAGAATGGTTCACAAACAATACACTTATAAGTATTGAGAAATGCAGTTTAGAGACAAGTAGGTGTGCCGAAAGTATTTGAATGAAAGGAATCCAGGTCAAATTATTTATAATATTATTACGAAAATAAACTTGTAATTAAAAATTGGATAAATAAGATTCAAACCTTTGCATATCATGTATGATACACAAGAAACAATAATTAATGTTATGTGTAAGCACCCATATATCGATTTGTAGGGATCCGACAGACTTGCTTGGACAAATATACAAGGGAGAGGTAATATTTATAAAAAATAGGGACAACCAGAAGTGTAATTGTCCACAATTTGAAAATGGAATGTTGAACATGCTAGGCTGAAATATATTTACTACCTCCAGTAAAGTCAATCCACGCCCCTTTCCCCGACCCGAACGGTTCCTGTAAAAGATATACAATTTTGTTTTGTCTCCTTATCCAGTGTCTTAACACTCGAACCTGATCTATCTGGAGTATTGTGTATTTCTCGAACATATTAATTAATATGATCCGTTTGAACTATTTGTATTTTGAAGGCAAAAGATCTACATCTACCCGAGTTGTGACTGATGACTTTTACAAGTGAGTCGTCGCAGTCTCCACCTGAATGTCCTCTGAAACAAAAGAAACATACATACATTTGTGTATACGTGCATTTTTCTCTGTTTTGTCCTCGTAAATAAGGCACTGACTAATTTTCTCTCGAATATATATTTGACTGTCAAGCTGGTTTTCGTGTGAACTACTCCACCACTGATGTGTCTTTGGTGTAGTCTAGTGGTTAAAGCGTTCGCTCGTCACGCCGAAGACCAGGGTTCAATTCCCCACACAATGGGCACAATGTGTGAGGCCCATTTCCGGGCGTAAAACTAAACTCACTCACTCCACCACTGATAACATTTTCACATACCGGTCTTTGTGCACAAAATATTCTTTAGACCAAAAGGAAGATACAACTGTACTATCATTGTTTTCAGAAATGATTTTGTTTTGTCACTGTCTAATAGTGGTGATACCAAGTGCCTGTATTCACGAAGGTGACTTGTTGTTTCGTCATAGGATGTACGTCAAGGATGCATTCTAAGCCTTGTTTACATTGCGCTGAATAAATTAGCTAAAGACATTAATAAATTTTGTGATCATGGTATATTTGTCATCCAGACATAAGGGATATGTTGATAGTATCACCTATTTACAATATGGGACATATATGCTGAATAACATTTACATTATTTAGTTGAAAATCAAATTCAGCTTGTCACCAATGCCCCGTTTCAGCTTCGGAATGAACAAAGGATACATCCTCAATGCAGTCATTGGCATTCAGAGGCAATATTTAGATGCATATCACCGCAAGTTCTTTCTGGATATGATCAAATAATCTTTTCAGGGCATTACCAGTCAGATGGTATCCTAAGTAAAACCTACTGGTACGAAAGGGTTTGAAATGGGGTCAGGATTGTCGCAGTTTCGTAATCTGGTTGATAAATGCTGCTGATACAGTTCTCAAGTGATGAGAGTGAGTGACGCACAGCTGACACTGCTGACCAGACGTAAAATCATATACACTTGGAGTGTTTTCGTAAAAGACGTACCTTTGCTAATGTCACCTGTGTCTTCTGTCACGGTTTTTGTAATTATAGTATCATTGAGCACCAGTCTTTTCAGAACAAAATGAAGCCACCTGAAAGTACAGATGGGGCATGAACGTTGCAAAATGTTTATAATCTATAAAAGACATACTGCAAAATATTCTAATAATATTTTATGGGATTTTTTTCGATATTCTTCCTTGGCTCTAACGGTACAGTGACCACTCACAGCAAAATCCCTGTAGCAACGCCACACAGACCAGCAGCCAGCATGAAGCTGAAGCCAGGGAAGAAATCAAGGGTTGCTGGGTAGAGAGCATTGAAAATCACAGATGCCATCAACCCACCAAGGCTATCCACTGCAGCCGCGAGTCCAAACATGCGCCCTGCAAACAGGTGAAGAACACAATGAAAGCGCCCATGCTTATATCCTTATACAACATTAAGGAGCATATTGTGATCCAAACTTTGTTATCCAAACTTTGAGTATTCAATCTTTACATTATATTTGTTCTTAGCCCTACCATGTTCATCCTGGCTGACCAAACTCGACATGGTTGACCGAAGAACAGCCAGTGGAAAGCCTTGAAACATGGAAATCGGTGACACTGAAATGAACGTCACATACATTTGATGTACATGCTAACATATGCAATCAACTTGTGAATATGTTTTGTAATTTAAATTATACACCTTTGTGATTGTGACCAAAGAAGGATGAATGGCATGTGTACCATTCTTGGTAGTTGCAACTTACCTATAAAGACTTGCCATGTCCGTTTGCTGAGTCCCAATACCACCAGACCGATGGTTTTGGACGTGAAGCCCCAGAGTGATAAAGTGGTGTTCCTCAACTTCCTACATAGTGGCAGAACTGTGAACATCATTATACTACGAAGTAAGTTCTCCAGACCCTGATAGTAACCCAACGTTGTCTGTGACCAGCTGAGTGGAGCTCGCCTTGTGTACAGGAGGAGGACGTCCCCTTCACCTGTAGCACACCAAGAGGTGACCAATGTTTTAGTGTGGGTAGAATGCATACAGTGTGATACTTCCTCGTACATCCCACTGGTTTAAACGATAAGGATTAAGAAATAAAAGTCAATTTGTACTCACTCACTGTTCCGATAACAAGGAGGTTGAAGACAATGAGCAGTAAGAAGATGTACAGAGTTCTCTTTCCTTCCCTTTTCTTCATCACACAACGACCAGACTCCTTGAGAGATCCAAGAAACCAATACTCGCAGAAACTTTCACCCTCGGGTCGTGTTGTGCTGGCCGTTAGGTTCTCTAGACGTATGATAGCGTATACAAGTCCTATGAACGAAGACCCAGTTATGAAAGCGAAGACGAATGTGAAACTCGTACTGTCCAACATCACTCCCGATATGAAGACACCAACTGTTCCAGCTAAAAAGTTAACAGCCTCTATGAATCCTAATCGCGTAGTTCTATTGGTGGGATCAGCAATGTGCGTCACGTAGCTGTACACAGCCATCAACTGGCCCGAAAACCCCCCAGACAGACCATTTACTGCACCAGCAATCATCACATAATCCACTTTACTTGAAGGGTAAATGGACATAAGCAAGTACACAATGGAAGACAACGTTGCTCCCACACTGGGTAAAATAGCAGGTAGTTTCCGACCCACTTTGTCACCCCAGGATCCTAGGATAAACACTACAATCAAACACGACGGAATTCGATCTACAACGTTTTTCTTTAAGATCCAGTAGGACGTCTCAGACTGGACATAATCCTCTTCTGTTTTGTGGTCCTCTTGGAACGTCTTGTTGCGAAGGCTGTCGCAGAAAGTCTCGTTGTACTTGTCAATGCACACTTTGTTATACACAAAGGCCTGGAAGGTTGGGTTGCCCAGAAAGAAAGCCAGCATATAAAGAAACAAACCGGGCTCGACTGTTATGAGATTCAAATCGAACTGCCGTCGGCAACACTTAATCACAGCCATACTTTGGACAAAATCTGAAAATAGAAATTTCATTTCTGTTTTACTTAAAAAGACTGGGTAAAATTTATAAAGCAACACAGAATGCACGCTCCAGAACACAGAGACTCAGACCAATACACAATGGATTGTTGTTGTTTTTTTGGAAAAGAATAATTAATGCACTGATGCATTCTATATACATTGTAATCGTGTATCGAATTTAATATTTCCCCAATGATAGACAAGATTTAAAGCCTTTACAACAGAAACCTCATATCTGATAAAGATTTTGCATTTTGGCGTCCGAGTTCCAAAAATAACGATGGTTGGTGGAATTAGGATAAGCAAAGGTTCAATGTGGCTGCAATTTACTCAATGCTGATGTTATATATCAACCAAGTCAAACGTTCCTTTATTATCTCAGCAGAACTGTACCAAAGTTATGAACAGATATACTTCCAGTGTCTATAGCATTTCATGATGAGGTTTCTTTTGAAGCCTGGTATTTAACTGTCATTGTGCCAACCAGTGGGTTTTTTACAGGAGAGCAGTATATCATAATGGCACGGTGCCACAACAACGTAATCCACAAGGTGGTGATTAATTCGACTCATTTTCACATGTTATGTTTCCATATTATGACGATTTTCAAATATTAAACCATACATGCCAGCTATATGGCATTGCAAACGTATTGTATAGCAACGTTGCATTTGTATTACACTGTTTAGATGAATTTCAGGACAACATTGTTTCAATAACAATTGGCCAACGCTGATATTTCATGTAAGCAGTACTGTTAAAGATGTTATATACTGATGTTTATAGCATTTGATGCAATCGCTGGTTTTATACTTTGCTCGTTACACTGTGGTGTGTGTTGGAAAATGCAATGGCTGTATGTTAGACCTCAGATGTTAATAAGTTTCATCAACTACTTAACACAGTGATGGAACATGAAGGTGGCAAGAAGGGTTTATTTATTACACCTGTTTTTCATAATGTGTTTCCTTTATAACAGGTATTGTGTATTCATCGTGTTTCCTTTAATGTGTGCAGATGATGTATCAGCCCTTTCAGACACATGTAGCCAGTTGCAGAAGAAGAATAAAAATCTTTCAATTTTATCAGGAACCAGGGATACAAGTTAATCAAAACAAAACAATAGTTATTGTGTTCAGAAATGGTGGTCCTCTTCGCTGTTATGAGAAATGATATTTTAATGAAGAACAAACCAGTTATAGAATATCTTTGAAATGTTTTTTTTTGTATTGGAATCATTAAATCATCTTGTAATGTTATGGCTCGGGGCGAATGTGGCACATTCCCTTTCCAGCTAATATACATGATACGTGTTCGTAAATCTTGGTGTTGACTAATTCGGCTTCCACAATATAATTATAGACTACCATAACAAAGTTACATTACACTAGTTCTAGACAGCTGTGGGCGCAGAATCAGGGTAACAAAGGTTAAGAGCATTCTGATTTCTTATGGCGTCGGGTTTGTCTGATTAAGCCAATATGTCAGTGATGAAACTGAGTTTGAAAAAAGCTGTCTGACACTTGGTAATGAATCCTGGAAAAGTTGTTGTTATAAACAGTTCAGCTTACTTCTTGATGTTGACGTATGGATTCATGATATTTCTCACCAGACTGTGTTTGTATTGTAAACCAAAGGGTTTAGATCAAGGATGAAATGCATTAACTATTTCTCTATGAATCTTACTCAAAACTAAGAGACAAAAATGTTACTAAGTATGTTACCAACACAATGGTATCTTTGTTTTCAGAACAAACCCCCTAATATTATCAGGTCTGTTGCCATAAACTTTTATCATGCCAGAAATAGTTCTGTGTGTCTGTGGTGTCGGGATCGATACTGACAAACGGCGAAGACGTCCGATGTTGGCGTGCGATGCTGAGAGATATGGTTTGATAACTCTCCAGAGAGTTGATCAGCGTCTTATTTCCTGGACCACAAAGCGATCTTAGAGATGAGGTGATGGTAACTCTCATACTTTAACACAGACTTAGCACTAAGATTGCTGGGCTGACCACATTCCTTGTACTGTGACATCGTTTGGGTTTTGTTGTTCAAGGACGTACTCAGCAATATTCCACCACGACTGGGATACGATGACATGTCACCCAGGTCCGCGAGCACGACACCCGATGATATTAGTCACCTCTTACGACGAATATGAATGGCGGAAGACAAATTCTACTCCGGTTCTGCATGGGTCCCTTCTCGCCTAACGTGTCCGTGTGGAGGCCATTTTGTGGAGCGGGAATTATGTAAGGTATAGTAGTAGACAGAGATGAGAATTCTGGATCAGGGTAATCTAAAGCTTCATTTAATAGATGAAGCCTTAGTTGGACCCTTCCCATTACCATCTACTACCCCTCTACAAAGCTTTATTTCACAAATAAGACTTTAGTTGGGGACCCTTACCATTACCTCTACTATAGTGGTATCTTGTCTCTATGCCGTGTTGACGGGAGGTAATACTGTGTCATACGGTATGATTAATAATTCTTCTTTTACAAACCCTCTGCCCGGCCCATCCCTCAAGAAATACAAGGTAGGTTCGTCTGCTTTCATATCAACTTTATCTATGTTGTAAGTTTTGACCGACCATATCGGATCTGTGGCTCGCTTACGGCTATCCCCTTCGTGTTCCCCCGGCTGGTATAGGTACCTCACGAGCGCCCTATCTGGTATCTGTTTCTCCTTCCCACGCAAAGGAGCGGCCGGCTCTGCTGCTATCGATTTTAATTTGATAGCGTCTGCCGGCTTTTTACCGGTGAGACGAGTGACTTCATGGTTGATTGCCGACACCACCTTAGGTAACCTCGTGACCCATTCAGTCGATCGTTTTTCCGGGTTGGTCATCTCTCTAGCGTACTGATACCCAAATAAACGCTCAGCCAAAGTCCTATTAAATCTCTCTACTATAGCTTGACTGCGATGGGCTCCAACCGTGCCACGTCTCACTCGTACTTTGTGCTTAGTCAGCAACTGAGACACAACTCCCATGAACTCCCGACCAGGGTCAACTTGGAGCTCTGTTGGCCACGTCAGCGGACTGCGTTTGTATATGCGTTCCATGGCTTGAGCCACCTGATTCGAGTCTTTCGCGGTCAAGGGTTCGGCTTCCTTGTAGCGACTGGCCACATCCACGACTGTTAAGGCATACTTGTACCTCTTGTCGTGGGGTAGGAACAGCAGGTCTGCCTGGTGAACGCTATTAGGTATGTTAATACCAAACTTCCTTCTAGGCACGTAGCGTGGTGGTGGCAAATATATCTGCCAAAGTGCTTGTTTTTCAAGCCACGCTTTGGCCTCCTCCGGGGATACTCGCGCCATTTTAGTCAGCTTATCTACAGCGCTAGCTCCTTTCCAGTACCCACGCGGACTATAGTAAATAGCCTCAAACTTTTTCTGGTTCCGTGACATGTCACTATTTATTTATACCTATGTTCTTGGTTCAATTTTCTCATGCCCGTACGCGTACGTGTTTATCCCATCAATGGCTATCCAACGTTTGGTATCCATAGGGGATAATGATGTTTTATTTATAGTCAGCCCGTATATCCTATGCCCATCACTTCTAAGTGTGTTCATTTTATGTTTAAAGGTACGGGTCTTGAACAGGGCTTCCTTGAATCTGGCGTGTTTGATGTGTTGTTTCACCACGTATTTTTTACACCCTTAGCTTTCCGGATCTCACCATTGTCGACCTTCAGTATGGAGTACATCTTAGGCCTCAACCCTATGTACTCGACTATGGGCGTGCCAGCACACTCGTCCTTCATCTTACCTAGGACCTTTTTATTCACCGTGCTGTGTATGGTATGGTCCTTGGGATAGTCGCTGGTGTCGTACAAATCGAGGTGTTTTTCATGTCCTCGTACACGTCCTCGGTTCGAATCTCCATCAGCAGGGAATCCGTGTCAGTGTATAGCACTTCACACCTGTCATCGTACTGTTTCTTCAGCTCGTTGTAGTAAAAGTCGTACATCAAGTGTTTGGATAAATCGAGGATGCTCATCCCAACGTAAACAGGCCGGTTTAATATTATGTGACTTTTCTTCATGTGTATGGCAGCCAGGTCGTTATCGAATATCTTACTACGGTTGAATGCAGGGTTAGCGATCAGCTTCCTGAGCTTGTCTTCCTCATTCGACCGAACCAGCTTCACGTCCACGCGTTTCCTCAGGTTCTCCATCGTCTTACCGAATACCGAGTTGTTCATGAGCTTATACAAGTTTTTCTCAAAGTCACTGGTAGCAAGCTTTCGGAGGTCCGTGTTCATTCTGATGTAAGGCTCCATCCAGGGGCTCTGGTTGAACACGAGCACCCTGTGTATTTTGGTCAGTTTCATACCCAACGACAGGTACAGCTGCAGGTTGCGATAGTGTACGATGTATTTGGTCTTATTCATTAAGTTAGGCACGAGTTTTTCAACGCCCGTCACCCGCCTATCTAACAAGTTATGTTGGTATTCAGACATCCAGTCTGGGTTAACCCTCATACGTTCGGGAGCTAGGGGGTAGCTGTTGTGTGATTCGTGTAATGCCTTGGGGTATTCCAAGTCAACCTCGAGGATATAACCTTTGTTCGAATCCGGCGCGATGCTCATAATATCGAAATCGGATGATACCCATTTGAATCCCCCTGTTGGTAGATACTGACTCATGGCCCATCCGTACAGGTTATTTGCGTCGAGATAGAGAATGTGATTGGTTGGTTTGCTAGGGTCGTAGCCATTCACGTATTGATTATTTGCTTTAGCGTATCGTTTGGTTGCCATGGAGATCCCACCTCGCAAACCTTTCTCAATGAACAGGTGCATGTCATAATCAGTAAACAATTCCAACTTAACTCCGGTCTTTTTAAGCAAGGCATCCCACGACAGGCCTGGGCTGGTGTAATACCATGCTGGATCTAGTTTATACTGCTTGATACATGTCCTCCTAAATGTCTCAAACACGTCGGCTAATAGTAGTACATCCATCTTCAAGTACAGATC